TCCGTAACATGCGGCTTCGGCTCACAAATAGACCAATCATTAGATTCTAATGATTGGTCTATTTGTGAGCCGAAGCCGCATGTTACGGATGAAATTGGAATTTTTCCCACGGCACACCAGACAATATCTCACGGCACACTAGTGTGCCGCGGCACAGTGGTTGAAAAACGCTGTTCTAGGGTATGTTTCATCCCTCCCTGATACAAAGGTACCTATCGATTTTGGCATGGTGAGAATTATGCAATTGATGCCACCATCACAGAAGGAGCACGAAATGACTCACTTTGAGGAGGTGGTGGGAAGATGGTTGGTTGCAGGATCCCCCACAGTGCAACATAGCTACAGGCGGAAAACCTATGGACATGCGGACAAGGCTGCCCACCCTTTCACAACATAGGGGGAAGGACAGGCATCAGCAAATGGAGGTGGAAAATCCTACAGCCAGGGGGAAGGACAGCCAGCAGCAGAAATAAATAAGTGTACAATCCTACAGGATAGGCTATAGGTTGCCCGCCTTTTCCCAAATCTGGGTTTCTGTTTTGTAGAGGTATATTTTATTTATTACTTAAGACTTTTATTTTTTGGGAGTGGATGGGGCTCTGGCAGTGTATCTTTGTTGTTGACACTGCACGCCTGTACAGTAAAGTTGTGTGCACCAAAGCACCACGTATTTATTCCCCCTATTGCCATAGCTGCCATTCAATTTAGGAAATCCCTTCTATTATAAAAAAGGAACAGGTAGGCCTAAAGCGAGAGGCATAGGTTCTGCACACAGAGGTAGTTGACTTTTAAACAGTATTTACAAAGCTTTTTTTTTTTTTTTTTTTTTCAAATTTGTTTTTCCTGTTGTATGGCTGTCCATACTCTTGTCAGCCAAACACAGGCAGGCAACAATACAAACTTGGTACACTTCTTAGGCTATCTAGAAGTGCTAGGCTATACACAAGTGTGTCCCTATAGAAATATTAAAGATGATTCAAACTGTTTTCTATTGGTTTTACTTCACATAAGTTTTATTTATTCTCTCTCTGTCAAACTCTACCCTGGAGAAAACCGCTGCAACGCCTGGGTCCAAGTCTGGTTAGGGAAGGAGACCAATATTCCCTAGAGAATGTAAATTTATATAATTTGTGCCAGGTTTTCCTGAGATGGTCACTTCTGTTTTGCATTTTATTTCATTTATTTTTTCTGAGCATAATGATATTAATGGTAGCCTCTCCTGTTTCCAAACCAATGGTTTGCATGTTTAGCAGCACCAACAACGTCTTGTATTGTTGTTTTGGGATATCGTTGAGGTGGAAAATGTATCTTACTAGGTTAAGGTCTAAATTGAAGTCAGTCATCTTAGAGATGATGATTTGGGCCTGATCCTAATACAAAGAAAAGTTGCAGAACATGTGCAAATAGGTGCCCTTCTCCCCATTGCAGTGCCAGCATGTGGAAGGTGCACTGAAAAAGATCTTGTGTAACGTTTATGGGCCTCATGGTTAATAGTTGTTAGCTTTCTTCCTGATTTTGTTGTCAATGGATACTTTGTGAGCACAGTGAACAATATAATGTTTTTGCTTCCCAGTTGGTGTTTAGCCTAAGTCGTGTTCACATTAGGTGACATAGCAGGAGGTGTAGTGCTCGTAGGTAGTGTAAGAAGAGCGTAACAGGTGTGTCTGACTGTGTTGTCTGGGCAGAGGTGACTGAAAAGGGATAGGGGAGCGGACTGTTATCTGTCTTTCATGGTAGATATCAAAAAGTGTTGCAAGCCTGCCAAAGTTGCATAACCTGCTAAAGGGTAAAGAGGGGAGGGTGCCACTTGTTGAATATTAGCATTGATTGCAGTACTTTAGAGGAAGCGCATGAACCTGAATGGTACCAAGAGTTAAAAGGAAGAGGGCGACTGGGGCAAATCTGGGAGCATATGCAAAAACGTTGGGGGGGCTGATAAGTTTATCAGAAGTGGAATAAAATGAGTATAAAGCTGCATATAGAATATCAGATGGTGGACGACTTTTATTAAAACTCACGGCTCACAATGGCATCTTGTCCCCACTTCTTCTGCCACTCAAGGATTAAGCCTGTGCATACTTTAAGAGAGTGCCTACAAGCCCTACACTTATTTATCCCTATGCACTTTATCAGCAGCATTCCCTATGCTTTCCCTATCACAGCTAAGCACAAGTTCACAACACAGACATTGAAATCTTAGCTTTTTTCTATGAGAGGAGATCTTGGCATCTTGCCAACACTTAGACAACTAGCAGGTGTTCCTAAGGGCTAGTTCACACCAAGCGTGGAGTATGTGCAGAGCAGTTACAGAACGGATCTGCGTCCAATGTATTCCAATGGTATTTTGAGCTCTAGTTAACACCGCAGCGTTCAGTTCCAGAGCATGTAAAAAAACAGCAGCAAGCCCTATTTTTCCTGCTCTGGAACGCATGCAAATGCATAAAAAATGCATGCAATTGCAGAGGCCGAACGCACTGGAATGCGGACTTTGTGGTGTGAACCGGTCCTTAGAGTTTACATTGTGATCTTTGAAGATTTGGAGAATGAATAACTTCAGATTAAAAGCATAGGTCAGGGATGGCTTGCTTTAAAGCTCTTTTACTACTTGTTAAGAATGTAAATAGTTTATTGTCCTTAGTCAGGACACAGTTGCACTTTAAAATAACACTCACTTGATTTTTAGAAGAATAATACTGAAATATATATTTGTATCTTTTTGCAGGACCCACGCGTAAAATGCCACCTACTTCCAGTGCAATGGATTTTTTTCAGCTCTTTGTCCCTGACAGCGTAATTAAAAATATGGTGACACAAACAAATATGTATGCCAAGAAATACCAGGAGAGGTTTGGATCTGATGATGCTTGGGTGGATGTTACTCTTGCAGAAATGAAATCTTTCTTGGGCTACATGATATCAACCAGCACTCATCACTGCGAGTCAGTGCTCAGTATATGGAGTGGTGGGTTTTATAGTAACAAGAGTATTGCTCTTATCATGACGCAATCAAGATTTGAGAAAATCCTGAAGTTCTTTCACATTGTGGCCTTTCGCTCCAGTCAAACAACCCATGGGCTGTACAAAATTCAGCCCTTCCTTAATGCTTTGCAGAGTGGCTTTGACTCATCTTTCAGGCCTTCACAAACACAGGTAAAGCCAATTTATATAATATTATTTCTAAAGTGTTTTTTTTTCATCTTTAAACTGAACATTTTACCTGAATTTTACAGTATTTGCCTGAAAACAAAGAAAGATAATATTTAAAGAAGGAGGTACAGTATATTTAAGTGAAGCTGGGTTTTTTTGCAGGACAAACGCAACAGGTTCACTTAAATGCCCCCAGACGAGGGGCAGACGAGCAGCACACTTGTCTTTCCTTTTTTTTCCTTCCTGTTATTCCACCTGGCCACAAGAAATTAATAAACCAAGCATTCTGTAAGCTCAAAGCCCAATTAGGGTTTACAAAGGGATGAAAACTACCATGCTGGGTCAATCAACAAGCACCAGCACTGTCACATGGAAGGAGTCACATGCGGCTCCATACCTGGAAGTACCAGGTATCTTCTTTACTCATGGTGGCTTAATGGAGCAGAAGAGGGGACACAAAAGGTGAGGATATGCTGCTGGGAAAGGGGAGCAATAAAGCAAACCTATTGCTTTGTATGAAAATAAGTAAAGATATTACACTATACACTACAGACACCTGTTGTTAAAATGGATTTCTCACAAAAATATCCACTCCCGACACTGCTATCTGAAAGACATTTTTCTGAACCCTGTTACCTTCTCCTTAGGCAAAACACAGGTTTCCTTTAAGTAGAACTGTGGGGGAAAAAAATTACAATCAAATGTTCCACTGGTGTTCATAGACATGATTATTACCCTATATGTAATGTTACTTAGGCAAATCCAAGCTTCAGTGCTGAAAAGCCAGTAGCAGCCAGCTTCTACCTACCTCAGTGAAAACATTTCGCTATGAAGCTGCTACTAATACTTCCCGGTTGTCATCTCTCTGTCTAATCATAGTACATCCTGACATCAGGTGTGGTAGTAGCTCATGAAGACCTCATCTGCCTCGCCTTAACAGATTTTAGTGACAGGCCCTACTGTCCATAACAAGATCTTGTGAGAAATACTAGACAATCAGGGGAGTGTAATTGCTTGTATATGCACTTCTAGGAGTAAAGGTAGATGCAGTTCTTGTGGATGGCTGTACATCATACTCACATTACATACCCAGGCTGATATATCCCTACTAGCTAAAATTCCTTTTCAAATTTTGAAGGGAGCACAATGCAGCATGGAAAGTGGACAAAAATTGTGATAATTGGCATTCATATTGAAAAGAAAATGTGTTTTTAAGGAGTTATTTAGCTACTCAGACATGATATTGAACTTTGCCTGAAGTTGCCTGACTTAAACTATACTTTGCCAGATATATTATTATTATTATTATGTGACTACATTTGCAATTTAACTCCAATTGCGAAAACAAATGTACTCTTTGATTTTAGTTTAGTGTTAGTATTCACAGATCAGTTTAATCAGATAAAGGGTTTTTTATTTTTTTCTAACACACTCCGAACTATCGGATCTAATCATTATAATATAATCCAAACTCTGGGTTTCCTAGCCTTCATTCAGCCTTACTTTACCCTCGCCCCGCTTCGATCTGCCAGCGCTGACTGGCGGAATGGGAGGGGGCGGGTACAGCTAGCTTGCGGTATACTGAGCTTAGGGTAACGGGAGGACGCTAGTTTGTGTCCTCTCGTTACCCTAAGGAGAACTATGGGGAAAAAAAACACTGACCTCATAGTTCTCCTTTAACTAGCCATTATTTACACTGTGTAACAGTTTGTATTAAGGCCTGTGCTACAGAGCAGGGGAGGCATTTTGCAGACACGTTTGGAGATGGTTTGTAAAGGGAATAGCAGGTTTATTTTCTTAACATTGTTTCCTATTCCGCCTCCAGTTAAACCTCAGCCAATGCTGATCCATATACATTTAGGGGGTTATTCACAAAAGGATGAAGAGTTTGTAGAAGGCAGGAGAAGTGAACAATCTAGGACAACATAGCTGAACTGGAAAGTGAGCTGAATGGGAGAATCTTTCCAAATTGGCCATTGTGGCCTAGATTGTTCACTTCTCCTGCCTTCTCCAAACTATTCACCCTTTTGTGAATAACCTTGTTAATTGTTGCCTGATTCAGTGAAAAAAGGCTGGATCAGGAGACATTGTTCTGCTATCTACAGGTACCATAATAAAATAATATTGTACAACTGTCATAAAAAATACTAAAGTAAAAATATGTCTGATAAAATCAACATATTTGCTTGAAAAACAATGTACCGCTTTTGGTACCTAAAATCCTGAATAATCATACCGCCAGGGAGGTTAAGGAAATATTACATAATATATTACTTTTGGATAGAGTGGTTTTATTCATGTATGTGTCTCTCTTGGGAAGATAAAACCCTCTATTTTTTTTTTAAAACATTTTTTTAATTAGTTTTCATTCCACCAACAGATGGATAAAGTACAACAAAAACACATGACATAAACTAAAAAAACAAAAACAGTACTCATGTACACATCCCTTGCTTGTAATGATGATACAAGGTAATTCTAACAAGTCATGGAAGTGTTATATCGGCAAAACAGTAGTTGACGTACACTCAATACTAGGGTATCACCCGACCTGCGCACACCCATGTAGTCTCTCCACCTATTAGTGTATCAAAACCCTCTATTTGACCTGGTGTCACCAAGATCAAAAGTAATGGGAAATCCAAAATGTTAGAGTTGTAATCAGAAAATGAGGTAAAAACTTCCATTAGAGACATCTGTTCTAGTGGCAATTGTCTTAAAAGAGAATTTCACTCCAGACTTTATAGTTGTATAGTAGTTATGACAGCAGTATATTTCACAGGCTATAATACTGGCTTTTTTCACTTCTTCTCTTTATTTATGCTGTATATTTAATTGACATTTTCTAAAGTATAATATTCATGTTAATAAATTGGTTATTTTGTTTTTCAGGTGCTTCATGAACCTTTAATTGATGAAGATCCGGTATTTATTGCTACTTGCACTGAACGAGAACTTCGCAAAAGGAAAAAGAGAAAATTTAGCCTTTGGGTTCGTCAATGTTCTTCCACTGGATTCATATGTCAGGTCAGTGGTGTGCCTAGTGTGCCTTTTTTTAACACACCCTTCTTTATATGTCAAAATTATTTTTAGTAATAATCATGAAACAAATACTAATAATGAGAAAGAGATAGTGAAACTGTTCCTTTTCTGAATATTTTATGAAAAATAATGGCAGTAAAAATAAATAAATGTAAGCGTTTAATAGCACTCTGGCAAGACGTGGGCATGATAATTCAGTGATTGCCATTAAAAGTGACTTTGTCATCACAGGTTCACTTGTAAAGAATTACATACCTGTAATAAAAGAGCCTGTATATTTACATCTATGGTGGCCTGTTGAAATTCTACCTCTTCAGTGCTCAGTTTATGAGAAATGTTTTTTTTAATTTCTCTTAAAGAACTTTTGAAATGGCTAATATATTCTTGGTTTGGGAGACCTTTATAACAAAAGCTCTTTTTTGCATTTTTTTACCATTAATACCATTAAAAGTAACTCCTAGAAATTATAACGGCAGGCAGAGGGATGTCATATTGTTAATTTGCTACCGACCCCTCAACTGTCAGTATAAAAGAATTAAAACTTAAAGATCTCCAGAAATTATATTCAGGAAGGAGTTGTGGGATGTGTTAATTACACTTACCACTGTGCTGTGCTGTACTTTGCAAGATACAACTCTTTGAAAACTCTGATAAAAGAGCAGCAGTACCATTATTACACTGCTTCTAATCCCTGCACATTATATCAGTGAAATTAGTCACCGTAACACTGTAATGGCAACACCAGAGACTTCTATTGTGGAAACTAATGCCATTTAAATTATACTAGGGACCAGAAGCAAAATGCAAATGTAAATTGGACCCAAAATACATTGGTGATGAGGTGGAGGAGTAAAAGCATTTTAAGGTGTTACTGTGTTCTGCCGGGCAGACAGCACCACTATGAAGTTTGTCATGGAGCTGCACTTGATGTATAAATATTATGAAAATATTAGGGATGCACCAAAATTTCGGCTGTCTAAACATTTCAACTGAAAATGGTACTTTGGGCAAAATACCGAAAGTACCATAACAGCCAAAAATGCGGCCAAAAATTCAGTGCATCTCTAGGCTTTTTTTGCTTTCGATAGAACACTGGCTTCCCAGGCAATCAGGAAGCCTTCCTGATAAGCCGGGCCAACAGTATCCAGAAAAAAGGATCAGTACTCCTACTTGATACCGAGAAAACGGCTTTGGTGCATCCCTAGTAACGCATATTATCTCCACAGTTTATTAATGGACAGGAGCACTCAGTCTAGACGCTTCCTGTATATTCATAACAGGGGCTGCAGAAAAAGAGGACTCTGTGTCTTCAATCCCTTTTTCTATTTTAAAAGGGAAATATTAGAGGTCTGTTTGGACCCCTAATATTTCACCTAAGTCCCCAACAGTAAAGCAAAATAATAATAATAATAATAATATAAATAAATAAAAATAATTTAAAAAAATGTAAAAAGGTTGGAAAAAAAATTAATTTTTGGTTTCTACCTTAGATTGTTTTTTTTTTCAGATTTGGTCTGAACATACCATTTTGGTGCATCCCTAGATAATACCATGTGTAGGGATGTAGTATTTTCCCCAAATTCTTCTCCTGCACTAGTGATCTGTCAGTGTGGGGTTAGTCATCTTAGCTGTGTGCTGGCTGGTGTTCTTGAAGTATGGAGTGGTTACTTTCTGTCATCTGTTGTGTTGAGTGTGCTCCAGGAGGATGTGCTAGACATAACACTTTATATTAAGCATGTTTAATGCCTGGTCAATCAACAGGCCTGGGGAGCCTGCTGTGCATGCTGGGAGAGCTGGTAAATATCTGAAGCACTCCCTGGCACACTGTCGTCCCGCCATTTTCACCTTGAGAGGATGCATCTGTAATCATCAATTTAGGCTCCAGGCCTGAGGGCCTAGGGGTATGTGAAATTGTGCGGACCTCCCCTCCTGGCAGGTGTCCCTAGGTTCAGGGCCACCGTCAGGGGGGTACGGCCGATACATACAGTTGACAGTTGAAGAGGTGGAGGTGGCCGGGCCGGACTCCAGCAGCGGCAGAGCAGTCTTGGGGCCACAGCAGCTCCAGGGATCGAATAGTGGCAGGAGATGGTGGGGCGCCGGGCGCCTGGAAGTGAGGAGAGAGCCGGATGGGAGGAGGAGATAGAGCAGCCTGCAGGCACACTCTGGGGCCTCGGCCTGGAAGAACAAGCAGCAGCCACCTGATTACAGACCCACCACCTCTCCCTGCTGCATGTGTTCCCACCACAAGAACAGTCAAAAGAGGTAAGTGTTTATTCTATGTGCATTCATTGTTTGTAACCCTCTGTAACTGATGGAATTGTTTTGAATTTATGTATTGCTGGGAGTTGTAGTTCTCTATAGCTGGTGCTTTTCTGCATTGCAGCAGTGTAGAATTGCATCAGCTATAGAGGACTACAACTCCCAGCAATACTTTATGCAGAATGGTAATGGGTATTGAGGACTACAACTTCCAGAAGAACTTTATACGGCGATGCAGAATTGCAAACGCTGTATAAAATATTGCTGGGAGTTGTAGTCCTCTATAGCCAAAGCCATTCTGCATTGCCATATAAAGTATTGTTGGGAGTTGTAGTTCTCTATAGCTAAAGCCGTTCTGCATTGCCGTATAAAATATTGCTGGGAGTTGTGGTCCTCTATAGCCGGTGTCATTATGCATTGTGGTATGAGTATTGCTGGGAGTTGTAGTCCTCTGTAGCCGAAGCCATTCTGCATTGCTGTATATAGTATTTCTGTGAGTTGCAGTCCTCTATAGCTAAAGTCATTCTGCATTGCCGTATAAAGTATTTTTGGGAATTGTAGTCCTCTATAGCCAAAGCCATTCTGCATTGCTGTATAAAGTATTGCTGGGAGTTGTAGTCCTCTATAGCCGAAGTCATTCTGCATTGCAGTATAAAGTATTGCTGGGAGTTGTGGTCCTCTACAGCAGCGGTCCACAACCTTTTTGGAATCAGGGAACCGGTTTAGCTGAAAATTGTTTTCCACTGAGCAAGGGGAGAGAGGGGGAGATGGCTTTGGGATCGCATTTATTGTGCACTTTATTTCTATTATTATTACATTGTAATATATAAAGACATTTTTTTTACAAGTCATCATATTCAGAATCAGTGGGAGCACTGAGCTTGTTTTTCTGTTTCCAGGTGGCCAGTTCGGGTTTTCTGGTGGTCAGTTGGTCAGTATAGGCATTGTAAGAGAGGGTGGGGGCCCAAAAAAAAATCATGCACCAGGGCCCTTTTGTTCCTTAGGTCCATCACTGGCCACCGGTGTTCTGATCCCCAACGATGTAACTTCCGGGCCGGTCCCTAGCAGCGCTGGTCTGGAAGCAAAAACAGCAGAAGGTAAGAATTGCTGGGAGGGAGGTGCAGGGAAAGGGACACTGACCAGCCCACCTGAGACACTGTAGAGTCCACCATATAGAGTCGCAGATGGGCTGTGCAAGATCTATGGTGTGCTCTGCAGGGTCACTCACTCTCAGGTGGACTGTGTAGGGTCTCAGGTACAGTATGTGTGGGGTCTCAGGTGGGGTCTGCAGGGTCTCAGGTGGGTCCTGAGACCGGTGCTTTATAAGTCCAGAGTCCAGTGATAGGTCCTCTGGTACAGAGACTGCCGCGGGGGTTGGGGGGCCAGTTTGTTCCTTAGGGCCGCTACCGTTTTTGCTGTTGGTAATAAGTTCAGTACAGCACTTGGTATGGTCCCGGCCCCCTCTCCCTGTAGCCTTGTCCTTCATGCAGGAAGGGTATTCAGGAGGCGGAGCTTGGTCTGTAGCGGGCTTTACCAAAGAGCGATCAGGGAGTGGAGCAGAGTCACTTTAGTGGTAAGTTAAGTGTTTTAGCAGCCCGACCATGGGAGTGAGGAGGGAGAGGCCGCACACGGCCTACACAGAGCCCGCAGCCCACCTGGGAGCCTGTGCAGGCTTAGATGTGCTAGAGGATAGATGAGGGGCAGTTAGTGTTAGTGAAAAGGGAGTGCGGTTAGTGAAAAGGGAGTGTGGTTATTGTTAGTGATAAGGGAGGGCTGTTAGTGTTAGTGATAAGGGAGGGAGGTTAGTGATAAGGAAGGGCGGTTAGTGCTAGTGAAAAGGGAGTGTGGTTAGTGATAAGGGAGTGCGGTTAGTGATAAGGGAGTGCGGTTAGTGTTAGTGAAAAGGGAGGGCGGTTAGTGTTAGTGAAAAGGGAGGGTGGTTAGTGTTAGTGAAAAGGGAGGGCGGTTAGTGATAAGGGAGTGCGGTTAGTGTTAGTGATAAGGGAGTGTGGTTATTGTTAGTGATAAGGGAGTGCGGTTAGTGATAAGGGAGTGCGTTTAGTGTTAAGGGAGTGCGGTTAGTGATAAGGAAGTGCGGTTAGTGATGAGGGAGTGCGGTTAGTGTTAGTGATGAGGGAGTGCGGTTAGTGTTAGTGATGAGGGAGTGCGGTTAGTGTTAGTGATGAGGGAGTGCGGTTAGTGTTAGTGGTAAGGGAGTGCGGTTAGTGTTAGTTTCAACTTTATATATTAAGTTGTAAGAGTGTTAAAATAAAAGTGAGTGCACTGAAGCACTCGGTGGGACAGCCAGTGAGAGCCCACCTGGGAGCCTGCACAGGCTTAGATGTGCTAGATGATTACCCCTGACTCTAGCCAGGTCCGGAAAACCGCACAGAACAGACTTACGTTTTTGCGGACCTGATTGTCCAGTTTTTTCCTGTTTACCCCAATACGTCACAGACAACATTGACATCTGTTCCGAACTGCTCAGGCGCCCATGTCAAAGGGGCCTAAGTTTTAATCAATAAAGTAAATTCATCTTGAGACTTCTGTTAGGTAACAGTAAAATAACCCCTATATTGCATCTCAGGGAGGGGGTTGGGGGAGCAGTCTTCTTCAGCCGACCGTTCTCCCCACTTCGGCTGTGTGCAGCTCAGCCGTGCCGAAGCATATGTGTTCAGATCGGCTGAGCTGTTTGTCTGCTGTACAGACTATTGTACGGACTATAC